GCATTATTATTATTGCATGATATCGCTGCAGACAGAGGTAGAAAGCACACACTGTTTGGCTGCATCTGCACTGCAGAAATAAGGCAGCTTAACACCACTTTAATTACCATGGCTCAATGCTATGGACTTCTAGTATTTGTAGTTTTCTGAAATATATAGCTTTCTCTGTCAGAAAGCTCTGGTGCTCACTACAGATCCCAGCACTCCACAGCATTGAGCTATGACAGTTAAAGCAGTATCAAACTGGATTATTTCTGGACTGCAGATGCAGCCAAAGAGAGAGAGAGAGAGAGAGAGAGAAGTATTTTGTCAGAAGGATAGAGGAAGAGAGGCTCATATTTATTCAAAGGACAGGAGACAGGTAGGGGCATGATAAGACATGTGCATCAGCTAATTGTGTGGCTAGATAAGAATGAGTGAGATGAAAGAGTGAGGCAAAAAGTAATTGTTGTTACATACCTTCGAGATAATTTTGAATTACGGCAACCTTAAAGTGATCCTATAATGGAGGGTTGTTTTGTTTTATTTTGTTTTGGTTTTTTTGCAAGATTTACTCAGAGGAGGTTTGCCTGCCTCCTGAGGCTGAGGCACAAGATTATCCAGTGGGTTTCCATGGCTTAGGCTGCTGCCACACTGTAGAACTGATATACTTTCACACCACAACACAAGGCTGCATCCATGGGAATCCTGGGATTTGTACTTTGTTGTGGCACCAGGGCTATCTCACAAAGCTACAAATCCCATAATTCCATAGCATCGAGCCACTGCAGTTAAAGCAGTGTCAAACTGCATTAATTCTGAAATGCAGATGCAGCCTTAGGGTGTATCTGCACTGTAGAAATAATACAGATTGTCACCACTTTCACTGCCATGGCTCCATCCTAAAGATTTCTGGGATTGGTAGCTTTGTGAGGCACCAACATGCTTTGGCAGAGAAGTCTAAAGAGCTTGTAAAACCACAAAACCCAGGATTCCATACGATGGAGCTACACCCCTTAAAGTGGTGTCAAATTGCACTATTTCTACAGCGTAGATGCACTCTTAGTAGGGTTTCAAACCCTGATCTCCTGGAATCTAACACTCAAACCACTACACCACACAAGCTCTCAGCCTGATGGCTAATAGACGGGATCATTCCCACATTAAGTTCATAGAAGATACATTGATCTCTCAGGCTAGGTACCTAAGATCCATCAAAGCCTCATCTTCTGGGAAGAAATGGAGATTTTAGGAGCAAGTTGCTGAGGAAATACATGGAGGTGAGACTGAACTTTTTGGTCATAGAAAAGTTGCATTTACTCACTCCATGATACTTGGACTATGAAATCATTTTATTTAGGAAAATACAGAAAGGAGAAAGAATTGATTTCTTGGTCATTCTAAGGATGTTATCACACGTGGCCCAGAAACTGAAAATAAAGTG